ATGTATTTTATTTATAGATATTTTACGAGTATTTATATGATTTTGTGAATACAATGCATGAAAGAAAGCAAAAGTATTTTGCCTATCATTTTATGGTGAAAGTAACGCACGACGACTTGAATGGAGTCGGACTACTCGACCCCCTTATCCATCGACTGTTTACGCGACTTTTTGCCAATAATTTGCTCAATAATACAGTTTTGGTGTTTTTCTCGGATCACGGCATGAGATTTGGTTCAATCCGTGAGACACTGTCCGGTAAATACGAGGACAGACTGCCGGCTATGCATATATACCTGCCGTCCCACTTGCGGACTCATAACATGACTGTCAATGAGCACAGACTTACCACTCATTTCGACATTCACGCCACACTTAAACACATACTCGAAGGTATTGTTCAAACAAATCAAACATTTTTTGATACCTTATATAAAATTACTTCAATTAACAGGTAAACCAAATAATACTCTAAAATACGGCAAAACACTACTGGAAGAGATACCGGTGACCAGGAGTTGTCAATCCATACCAATCTTAGAGCACTTCTGCTCGTGTCAGTCGAGTCAAGTGATCACTGATCTCAAGAGTGTGGAAGTGATGTCCAAATTCATAGTCAAACAATTGAATCAATTATTGTCCAAAAGTGTCGATTGTGTTCCCCTTGTGTTTAACACAACTCTGTCGGCATTTGAACAGATATTCAACGAAAAACTCTTAACATTCAGTGAATGCGAAAACGATCGCAAAAATTGTGCCAAATATGTAACGTTTGGCAAAAAGACATTTCAGTCGTACAGACATTATTTGATTACAATTAGCGTCAGTCCCAGTGATGGCATATTTGAGGCCACTATTAATTTGAACAGTTATACACAGAAAATGCAGTTAATGGGCGAGGTATCCAGAATTAATATGTATAGAAATCAATCATATTGTATTGATAGCAAGTTTTTACAAAAATATTGTTATTGTAAAAGTTTCCTAAACTAGTTTATTTTATTTAGAGAAAATAATTTGTTATGATTATAATTTAGTAAATAGAAAATATAAATAATTGTCAATGTGATTGAAAAATCACTTGATAGCATTTAATCTAATAAACAATAATTAGTTAATAAATTATTGACAAAACTTTGGAATTTATTTTGTAATTTTT